AAAAGAAGAAGAAGGTTTGTGAGAGGCTGAGAAAAATTATGTTCACTGTGTTGCGGCAACTCAAGTTTTTATGAAGGTTTATTTAGGGATTCAATGTAATAATGGAAAAGTTGAAACGTGAAGAGTCCGGGAGTCGTGCCTCATCATTGTTCTCATCTTGGTTACTGTAATTATGTAGTATTATATTACAATATTTTGGAAAACAACACAATAAATAAATATAATAAAAATGAACATAAAGCTGAATGCATTAATAAGTATAATCAATTAATGCTGAATGCACAAGAAAAAATTTCCCACTTATTTTTTTAATATAAATATGGTAAAACTTTTATATGTATATTAATGAAGTAATAAAAATGACATTATTTAGTACATTTGAATCATAATTCAAATGTTGCATTAAGTAAATGGTTATTTCGAATATTCCAATTATAGAATAATTGCAGTCCAGTACTAGAGTAGATTGGTAACACTTTGGATATGACAGGTATGTGTATGTTGCTATAGGTTGCACGAGTTATGGCTAATCACAATAGATTCGAATAATCATACCACGTTGCGGCGGAGTTGTACCGTCATCACATCCAAAATGTCATTTAGAATTTGTGCACTACCACTTGACTAATCTAATAGTTGCACTTGACTAGTCGACTGTTTACTTTATTTTCAAAACAATTTTCATTCACTAGAACAAAAGATCAATACTGTCCGTTCTGGATGTTTATAAATCTCTGAAACTGTCCCAAATTTCAGACCTCCGAAATCTCCGTTCGGTCCCGTATGATTCGGTTCGGATCTCCAAAATATCAACATCTTATGCAGATGGATCCCTCGTTCAAAGTCGAGATTCAATACATCCGAACCCAATCACAGTAATCTATTATTATTTTGTAATTATCTTTGATTATAGTTTCTTGCAACATTTGGAGATCTTTTATTCTACATATTATATAATTTTTTATCTGCACAACGGTAATGGGGACATGTGGAAGGTGTTCGCTAGGGCTGCAAACGAGCCGAGCGGCTTGAGCGCTCAAGTCAAAGCTCGACTCGAGCTTGAGTTTGACTGAACTCGAGTTGAGCTCGAGCACGAACGAGCTTGAGCCCATATTTTGCCTTGTCGAGCGGCTCGAGATACATGTTAAATTACTAAACCCTTATATATATTAGCATAGGTGCTTAATGGTAATTTTACCTTTCCACTTAAAAATTTTCAAGCAGAACTCGAGCCGAGCTTGAGCATTTTTATTTCGAGCCGAGCTCGAGCCGAACTCGAGCTATTGTAAATTTTTATCGAGTCGAGCTCGAGCCTAAAAAATCAAGCTCGACGAGCAGCTAAAAAAAAATCAATCCTGCTCGATAAGCCCAATGCTCGATTCGGCTCGGCTCGTTTGCATCCCTATTGTTCGCTGTTGTCAGTCTGGGCAGTGTCATTTTCGTGAATGATTGGCGGGCCTTCTTGCATGACAATGGAATAGGGGATGAAGAGACGATTGTCTTCCGATGTATCGGTTAATGCATGTTTGGTGTAATGTTTTTTGATAAACTTGGATCAATAAAATCCCCTCGTGCCAGGGGAGAGCGACCACTTTATAATGGTCGACATGATTTTATGACCTAGTTATTTGTACTTGGATTATATTATTAATGAAAATTCTATTATGCTCATAGCATATTTATGGCCTAGTTTGTTGCAAATTTCATCGATTTTCTCCATAATCAGAAAGTGCAGAATTGGTCATGGCAAATTTTTAAATGTGGTCTAAATCAAAATAATGTAATATTAATCAATAGTGTTGTGGGCGAAAATTCTATTCAATCGTTAAGAATCCATATACGATTGGACTTGTTTTATATTTTTCAACTAATTTTATTTTCATCTAATTAATATAATCACATTAAGAAATAATTAGTTTTCACGAAATAATTGAAATAATTGGTTGTCACGGAATAATTGGGATTCCAAATCTTATCATAACATGTCAATACATAACTAACATTTTTAAACCACTAAGCCACGTCCATAATTCATCTTAAATTTTCGATTTTGTATTTAAATATTAATAAAATTGATAACAGCGACACTTCAGCTAATTAATTAGCTTAAAATAAATTGTAAAAGGAAAGTTGGAATACCAAACAATAAAACCCTACGCATTGAAGAATGTCCTCAGACGAGAAATACAAGAACACTTAATATTTGTCTACGATCAATACGCATCTATTCAGTCTGAAGAAGATAAAAAACAATGGAAAAACATGAAACGCAAGATGCCGAGGAAAATCATTTCAATGACAAACTGCGGAATATGTCGTTCATTTCATGGGAAGATGCAGAAAAATAGTACGTAAATCATGCAAGAAATAAGGGATTCGATGTCCGAAGATCAAGCTGCAAAACTTCCAAGGAAGGTGTAGTGAAGAACAGACAATGGGAATTTTCTAGAGCAGGTTACAACGCAAAAATACGGAAATACAGAAAATAAAAAAGAAAATCCCAAACACGAGATGTGGTTGCACGGCTACATTTCATGTCGCGATTGAAGGGGAATTGTACAAAGTCACAAATTTGAAGATTCACACAATCAACCATTGGAGAGTGCCGAAACAGCACATCGTCTTAAGTCAAATAGGTAAATTTTTTTAGACAATTACATTGCGCATAATTATATATATACATATATATATATAATATTATATTGGCTTTCAAAGAAATAAATAAAACAATTGTAGTTTCGGTTGTAGATAAATAACGGAGTCTGAAAAAATATTGTTGACGACAATGAATGATGCCGGCATTCGAACATATCAAACTTTAAATTATATTCAAGAAATGTCTGGAGTTGGTCTACATTGCAAAATGAAGAAAAATGCATACAACTACCTGATGAAGACCAGAAATTATACAATGCGAGCAGGTGATTTTCAGACTGCACTTGCTATGCTTGAAGGAGTGAGGATCAATGATAAGCATTTGATAGTGGAGACGACATGTGATGACGAAGGAGGATTGACCAAACTTTTTTGGTCCGATGGTTTTTCCCAGTCGTCATATTCACAATTTGGTGGCGTTCTCATCTTTGATAGCACGTACAAGACTAACACCTACAAATTCCCTTTGGTCATTTTTTTTTTCTGGAATAGATACTCACCTAAATAGCACAATTTTTGGTGGGGCGTTGCTGCAGAATGAGACATCAGAATCATACGTATGGTTGCTCACTAAATTTATAGCTGCAATGAAAGGCAAGCCGCCGGTCACCGTCGTCACAGATCAAGATGAGGCAATGCGTTCGGCAATAAAGAAGGTCTTACAGCAAGCTAAACATAGGCTATGTGCATGGCATCTGGAGAGAAACTGTGTACATCGAGTGAAGGTGCACGAATTTTGCAAAATTTTTGGGAGAATTCTAATGAAAACTTGGACTCCAGAGGAGTTTGAAACCGAATGGGAATTACAAACAGTAAAACATGGTGTGGCGGATAACCAGTGGGTTAAAGAGACGTATAAAAAGAGACATCATGGTGTGACGCTTATCTGCGAGGGAATTTTATGGGGAAGACTAGAACGACACAACGAGCGGAATCTTTGAACGCCCTCTTCAAGCATGGGGGTAAATCGAGTAGCACAATAACAGAGCTCATTAAAACTTTCCATCGGATTGTTCAGTCATTGAAGTCAACCTTTTTGAGAAGCAAGAAGATTTGGAAATGAACCTAACAGATATCCCCCAAGCAACACCACTTCACGGTATTCATGTACAACTAGCTAGAGTTTATGCACGCTTAATTTTTGTAGAAGTTCGAAGGGAGATTGATGATGAGAAAAACAATCTTGTACTTGAGAAGAAGAGTGATGATGGGGGATCAAATGTCTACAAAATGGGAAAATATGGTTCACCCTTGATAGGGCTATTTCTTACCCGTTAGCTTAGCTAGCAGCACCTTCGCTTCGCCAATACTTCTGACTTTTCTTTTCAAGGTCCGAATCAAAGCAAATAATAATGAAAAAAAGGGCTATTCATCTACTTTCTCCGTTTTGAGGGTTATTCTTGATCCAAATTTGGTTTCCAAGTACAACCATTGGGTTGTAGAGAATGATGTAAGTTTGTTTAATTAGATCTAACAATTTAATTATATTCCTTTCGTAGACAATACATGATTTTAAAATTAATTATTATGTTTTTTTCTTCATAGAACTCGGATTTTATGACCCTTTTACAAAGGGAGGAAGCTACTAAGGTTAGTATAAATACTTAGAATTAAATATTAAATACATTTACTTATAAGTTAAATTTATTTTCTTTCAATTTTATACTTGACTTTATTTTGAATAGGACGATGATGAAGAGGAAGTTATTTCACCGCTTAAGACTGTTCGAGCCGTTGAGCAAGTTAGTGACACATCCAATGCAAAACGGAATTTGATGGATGAGTTTGCTATTGACCCCGAAGCTGAACAAGCCGAATCCGTGACGAGCAACAAGGGCAAGGCGAAAGTTGATGACTATGGGAACTTACTCCCCACTGATGAAGGAAATAATAATTAGTTTTTTGGTTTTGATTTAGAAAACAATTTTATTATGGTTTTTTTTGCTTGGATTGTTTTGATTTTCGGTTGTTTGGATGGTTTAATAAGGTTTATTATATTTTGAACGAATAATTGCAACTTTATGTTGCTTCTTGGTTGATGTCTCTAGGAAACATATAGTTTTCGAGATTTCGATCCTTAGTAATAAAGTTGATTTTCCCATTATGTTATTATGTGTGTTTATATTTATATATATTTAATTTCATTATACGTAAACTTCACACATTTAGTTTTTTATAAGTTGAACAAGTTCGTACACTGATGTGCATTAACCAAAGTACATATTAAGTGCCAAATAAATCTAATAATTGCTCTAATTTAAATATATCGCTAAAAATTTAATATATATTTTTTGACGTCACTTTTTTTATTTACTTATTTGGAATAACAAAATCTTTTTATAATAAAGTACTTTTTGGAATACGAATAATAAGTTGATAAATATTAATGCTACACACAAATGAATACTACTTAATCATCGTAAAACATGGAAAATGAATCATGATTTTATAAATATTATTTTGCCATTACCGATTGGACTTTGGGACTAATCACGTAGAGTGATTCAATTTTCTAATGTACAAAATTATTTATTTGAAACATATATTTAGTTTCCAAAAAATCAGTGAAATCAAATATACTTCTAAAGATATGGTCAAACACCTAAAATCTCTTATAAAATTACGTAGAGTGATTCACTTTTCTAATGTATAGAATTATTTAAGTCAAACGTATATTTAGTTTCCTAAAAATCAGTGAAATCGGATATTCTTCTAAAGATATTGTCAAACACCTAAAATCTCTTATAAATATTATCATTATCTCAAAATGAAGGATAACAAAGGAGGAAAACAACCACATCTCAAACACAAACAGCCATAACAAAATCTATTGATAATAAAGTACTTTTTGGAATACGAACAATAAGTTGATAAATATTAATACTATACATGTTGAATACTACTTAATCATCATAAAACATGGAAAATGAATTATGATTTTATAAATATTATTTTGCCATTACCGATTGGATTTTGGGACTAATTACGTATTATGATTAAATTTTCTAATGTACAAAATTATTTATTTGAAACATATATTTAGTTTCCAAAAAATCAGTGAAATCGGATATACTTCTAAAGATATGGTCAAACACCTAAAATCTCTTATAAAATAACGTAGGGTGATTCAATCTTTTAATGTACAGAATTATTTAAGTCAAACGTATATTTAGTTTCCAAAAAATCAGTGAAATCGGATATACTTCTAAAGATATTGTTAAACACCTAAAATCTCTTATAAATATTATCATTATCTCAAAACTAGAGTTTGATAATTTTATGCGCATGAAGGTACAACTATTCTCTCTCATTTTTTTGACTCGATTCAAAAGAACGTAGATATTTATGTAGTTCGAGTTGATAACTATGCAGATTAATTTTTGCAACATTTCAAAGGATCGCTGCTATACAATATGAAGGAGGATCACAAAGGTGGAAAAAACGCGGATCACACACAAAATCAACCACATAAAGGATACAAAATGAAGGATAACGAGGGAGGAAAACAACCACATCTCACACACAAACAGCCATATGAAAGCAGAAATCGAAATAAACATCAAATCGAAGAAGGTAATTTAAATTTACCCACCTATATTTCTTTTTTCACACTTTACCTGTACTGTGAGGAATGATTTGATGTGAAGAAGTATTACCTTTAATAAGGTACGGGATGTAGAAGCCGTTCGTTTTTTGTATCAACATCCTCGCACCGACAGAAAATTTTTTGTTAGAATTTGAAAAACTTTAACATCTAGATGTATGCATCAGTTCATTGCAGTTTTAGTTTTTGTTTTTTCTAAAAATATAAATAGTATAGCTTATGACCACTAACATATATAAGTATTGAGCCCAATCAACATATTTAGTTAAACAGAAAGATATTGAAGTATTTCTTATAACTTATATAATTAAACAGAAACATATTAGGGTAAAATCTTTACCTGTTAATGTTACAGAACAATGTTGCCACCAGTTTGTTACACTTGAATCTTCAACCCTTGGATAGTACAGTATGTCAGCTTCTATGTTATTTATAAGTAAGAGTTTATATAAAGTAAGAAAGTACTTGAGTATTCTGTACCTTTTGTAGTTCAACCAAGCTCCTTTTATGTTCTCTGTACCTTTTGTAGTTGAACCAAACTCCTTTTATAGATGATTCTCATGCATTGAAAACAAATTGGTCAGAACTAAAGGTTGAATTTACAGTTCAACTTAGAACATTACTCTAAATAAATTCGAGTTTAATATAAATCTGTGTGATTATATTTACACATTTGACAGATATCAACTATTCATTCAATTATCTTATTCAAAACATTAGTTCATGCATTTGTTCATCACATCTATTTAGTTCATATTAAACTGTGACAACAAAAAGAATATGTGCCCTCCAGTCAGACAGACATAAAATACTAACATGCATCACATAATTCGAACAAGTATCACCAATCATTATATGTTGTCAACATACATATATTCTTAGCATATCACCAAATTCGAACCACAAGCCAGTTTATCAAACAAGAATACAGGGGATAAAAATTAACTACACAACCAACATATAAAAATTCGAACAGGTATATTAAAGAAATTATATTGTGATAACAATAGAGCTTAATAACATTTACATCTACCATTAACAAAATTAATTCACGAATAACAATAACAATACATTCGAAAAAACCTCCAAATAAATAAAATTACAAAATCAGTCATATTATTTTCGCAAAATTACAAAATTACAAAATATTTTCGCACATGCGTTTAAACAAATCTTCGATTTTCATGTAATCGAAGTAATTGGAAGTAAGAAACGATAGTGATGTCAGTTTTCACTTATCTTTTGAAAAATGAAAAAACCTATTGTGAAAAAGGAAATCGATTTGCTCGATCATTTCAGAATTAGAAAGCTCACTGAACAAGAGTGAAAAAAACTGAACAGATTCGCACATAACACTTCAATTCGATCACATAGAGATAGCAAATTAAAAGGAAAACATAGATCTGGTGTTGTCTTGACATAAATATGTAGCAAACAACATCAATTTCACAATAGAACATAGCGTTTGTATTAAAATCAAAATACATATTAAAAGAAAAAGTGACTGTTGTCGTTACCTTTCTCAGCTGTTAGACAATTTTTGATTTCAACATCGTCGATTTATCGGCAGTGATCGAAGTAAAGATCGATACAGATTTCAATTTTCACAATTTTTCGATAAATGAAAAAAAAAATCGTGAAAAAGGAAATCGATGTGTTCGATTTTACAAAATTAGAAACGTCAGTGAATAAACAACAAGAATCAGACAAACATCCTTGAAGATCGGACGAATATTACAGAAGTTCCTTTCTTTTCGCAAGAACTATCGAGAGAGAGAGAGAGAGGAATCAAAACGAAGCGGCGGAGAAATCTGAGGGAAATGAAAACCCTATCGGGTTTTCTCTTCTTTCATACCATTTTTCGATTAATTTCAGCCGTTCGATTTTTATGAGCAGATTAGAGCCGTTGGATATTATTCAGCATTTTTCCTACATTTATTTGAGTTGGGCCGCCCAACTGGGCTTAAAAAATTACAACTGATTTGGGCCCGAAAATGGTTAATTATATTTTAGGCTTAATTGATTAAAAATATTTGGCCCACATGTAATATAATTGATTTTAGTATTAAGCACAAAAATAATGGTTGATTGATTAAATACAATTTTGGGCCAAAATAATTTTAGGTATTATAATGATCTATTAATTAATTATTAATAACTTTTTTATGTTTCACAAAAATATATATTATAAAATTCCAATTTTATAATATTTTTGTGAAGAGATTGGTATGGGATATGTTGATCATTGGGGTATTTATTGTTACTTACATATTTGGGCTATTTTAATTTTAAATCTTGGGCCGCAAATATGTCTTCTAATTTGGGCTAAATTTATGTTCGATAGTTTTAAATTAATATAATTGGCCAATTCATCTCATTTATTTATTATAAGAAATAAGAAATTACATTAATAGTTTTTTAAGACTAATTGTTGATATATTGTTCTTAATCCAATATAAGAAATTATATTAAATTATTATTATTTTTATATAAGCAAAACACAAAATCTCATAATAATTTTTTGTCACATTTAATTATTTTGTTTTTTATTTTATACATTTATATATTTAATTTTTGTTTTAATACTATATGATTTTTTTTAATTTACTGATTTTTTTGTGTATCCTTAATATTCCATTCTATTTCTACAGGATATGCTACACCTTCTCCTGTTACTGGATCTTCTTTTATTCCGATTGAAAACAACAATAATTCCGGCAAGGTTTCATATCAATGGCGAAGTTTGTTGCATACTTCTCAAAGTTTACCATTATCAAACATTACCAATGGTAAATTTTTTTATATTATATTTTAGAAAATTTATTTATTTATTTACATGCATATAAATAATATATATAGTTAAAATATTTTTCCTATGTAGTATTCGAAACAACCTCGATATTTACTCCATTAAATTCAACATCCAAAATTATTGCATCTGGTGAGACACTTATTTTTGTATCAAATTACATTATATATGTTTAATTTTATTCTGTAGTTTTTTATAATACAAGTGTGATGTGTGTGTTTGTGATTATAATTGTTTGCAGAAAATGTTGGACCGTCACAGTTCATTGATCTTACCAGTGATGATAGTGATGACGGTTTGCTTCTTTCTTCAAATTCTAATTCTAATTATAATTCGATTATTGTAGATATTTTTTCGCATGCAGGGGTTATTGATCTCAATGAGGATTACCATGTAACACCTATCAATCAAGTATCACATAAAACTATTAAAAGAAACCGTGGTCGACCTAAAAATATTTTAGGAAATACGTCCGCAAAAACTGGTATGTTCTTATTGAAATATAGGATTTATCACTTACTGTATTATGTTTCACTAAGATTTTTTTTTAATTATTTATTTTGTACTTATCAACATTTTCTAGATATTGAAAAAATAACCGCCACTCCAAACACTACTATTTCAAGTGAGATTTTCACTCATCGTGCGGACGATCAATTACCAGTTACCACCCTAAAAAGAAAACGTGGGCGACCTAAAAAGATTATAGGAAATACGTCCACATCACCTGGTATGTTGTTATTTAACAAATTAATTTATCGCTTATTGCATGATATTTCAGTATAAATTTTTAAGTAAATATATTTTAATTGTTTACGTTTTGTAGAACTTGAAAGAATAACCGTCAATCCAACTCCATACACGAATATATCGAGTGAGTTATTGGATCACAATGCTGACTGTCAACTACCACTGACGGAACTTAAAAGAAAGCGTGGTCGACCTAAAAAGGTTCTAGGAAGTACGTCCACAAAAACCGGTATGTTGTTATTTAAATAACTGCTTTATCACTTATTTCAATATATTTATGTATAAAATTTTTTTTAACATATTTTTTTCAATTATTTATGTTTTTTAGACCATGAAAAAATAACTGTCAATCCAACGCCATACCCAACTATATCGAGGGAGATATTGGATCACACGGCTAACGATCAAGTACCATTCACGTCTCTTAAAAGAAAACGTGGACGACCAAAAAAAATAATTGGAAGCACGTCCACACAAAATGGTATGTTTATGAATATTATTATTTTATTTGTGAATTATATCATTATATTTAGTTGTCAGTTTTGAATTGATTATGTTTATATTATTGTAGGTATTGATTTGCGTGATCAAGTGCCACCTACAAATCAAAAGAAAAAACCTGGTCGACCTAAAAAAATGTTGGCGAGCACTTCTACACGATCCGGTTTGTTATAATTTGAATTTTGATTTTATGACAAATTGTGTAAATTGATTTTATTATATAATATTAAAATATTCTTCATCATAACAATCGTAGAGTACTGGGACATGGGTGATGCCAACAACGAATGCATGTACTGCGGAGCAATGTTTTGGTATGCTGAGAGAAATTCTTCTGATAGAACGTCGGCTGTTACCAAGTACGGTGGTTGTTGTGTGAATGGTACGATTGAACTACCTGTTCTACATAATCCGCCACAGTTTTTGAGTGAACTGCTACATGGAGATAGCCGCGTTAGCAAACACTTTCAAGAAAACATTAGATCCTACAACAGCATGTTCGGGTTTACTTCTCTGGGAGGCAAGATCAATACCGACATCAACAAAGGATCGGGACCACCCGTTTTCAGTTTACACGGACAAAACTACCATCTCATGGGTAGTTTACTTCCTTCTGAAGGTTCAACTCCTAAATTTGCACAGCTCTATATATATGACACTGATAATGAAGTAACCAACAGAATGAATGCCGTGAGGTCAGTATTTAAATAATATCTTAATCGAGTTTTTTTTTTTATTTTTTTTTATAATATTTTATTTGATTGCCTTAATAACATTCTTTCATTTTTCAGAAATGTTGACGGTGCTACTGATTTGAATGGAGAAATTATTGCTGGATTGACGACCATGTTGGATGAGCACAACGAACTTGTGAAATCATTTCGTTTGGCTAGAGAAAGAATACAAGATCACGGCGAATCGAATGTCAGGATTCGTTTAATTGGAAGGAGATTTAATGATGCCAGACGTTATAACTTGCCTACCAGTTCTGAAGTTGCAGTATTGGTCGTTGGAGATTTTGATCAGGCTATGGGTGAGCGAGATATATTGGTTGAAACCAAGAGTGGACGACTACAGCGAATAAATGAGCTTAATGCTTCATATCTGGCTTTACAATATCCCCTTCTTTTGCCCTACGGTGAGGATGGCTATAGAGAAGACATTCCATTTTCAAATCGAAAAGTTGAAAAAGAGCGTGGTCGAAAAACAGTGAGTGTTCGGGAATACTTTGCGTACCGAATCCATGATCGAAAACACGAACCATCTACTATTCTTTCAGCGAGAAGATTGTTTCAGCAGTTTGTCGTTGATGCATATACCATGGTTGAATCATCGAGGTTGCGGTATATACGATTCAATCAGAGTCGACTCCGATGTGATATGTA